CAAGTTCTTTTGTAGTGAATCTTAGTTGGCAATGCTTAGGTGGAGGGATTAGTCCCATGTGGCTTGCCACGTCACTAATAATTTGGGGTGTTAACTCTTGAGAGTATTTGTGGTCTCTTGAGATAACGGCGGGGGTATTTTTGATCCCAAAATGTAATAGAGGGTATAAGTGATCTATTTCACATAATTTAGGGGCAATTTTGACCCTTTTCCGATGATTCTATAACGGTTTTGCATCTCTACAAACCGATAACCAATAAGTCAAACCGATATACTTCAAAACCGAACCGAACCGACTGATACACAACCCTACTCCATACCCCATCCAAAAAAAAAAATTAACAAAATTTTTAATTTTTTCATTAATTTTTTTTTAATTTTTCTTTTACCCCACCCAAAAAAAGTTTAGCAAAATTTTAAAAAAATTCCAATAATTTTTTATTTTTTTACCAACCCACCCCCTACCAGCCCCTCCACCCCCTATCCCAAAAAAATGTAAACAAAAGTTTCATTTTTTTATAGATTTTTTTTAAAAAAAAAAAAAGACTTTCTTACTACCCCACCCTTTATCACTTTTTTTGTTTGTTTGTGTGAATGCATATCGTTTACCCATTTTATCCATTTAACTACCCACTTTTAAATGAGTAATATGGGTATTATTCGTTTTTACCCATTTTTAAATGGGTAAATATGAGCGGATACCCATATTAATTACCCATTCTGCCACTCCTATGCCAAACTAACAAATGAGAAGTTGAACAACAATTAGGGTTGTGAATAAAATATCGAAAATCAAATTATTGTATTAAATTAAAAAATTTGATAGTTTGATATTGATATTTGATATGGTATTTGGGAGTAAAAGTTTAGAATTAGGATATTTGTGTTTGAGTTTGATATGAGATATTAGAACTATTTGGTGTTTGGTATTTTCTCAAATACCAAATTATTTACTTAATGAAGGTCATATATCAACAAGTTCATAATTCATTAGTACAAGTCCAAAGAAAAAGTCAAAAACTAAACATAAACAATCCAAATGTCTTTTACTTGTGTCACCAAACACAAAATTTGAAAATCTCGAACTGAATACCGAATGCTCACCCCTAAGAACAATTAAAGAAACTTCAATTACCCTTCGATTTTAACCCAACAATTCATAAACTTACTCTTGACATTATATTAGAGTTAATATATTTACAATTATCGCTACGAATCAAAGATATCAAATGATTTGCTAAAATAAATTTAACGAAAAGTTAATGTCGAAATCGTCACTTTTGATTGGAGTTAATTAGATGGTGTTATGAGTTTTTTTTTTTTTTTTTTTGA